ACGTACAGAATGACGATTTATAGCATGAAAGTTTCACACACCTTGTGAAATTGTTCGCCATGTAAGCTAATCTGCGGCCTGTTGATTGTTCCTACTGCAAACCTCAGATGCAATGTCACAACTTGCTTAGGGAACTGGAGCATTCCGGGGTGGTTTTCTGAATGCGCCGGAAAGTGCAAGAATATACCTTGTGGGGGGTGACGTGAAAACGCAAAATTGTGGAAATATGTGCAGCAAAATTTATTCTTTGGCACGGCTTTTTAGATGCATTCTATCTCATCAGAATATCATCATGTTATACTTCCCCAACTGGGGTTGGGTGGCTCTTTGGTAGTAACTCGAACATTTTTGTCTTATCAAAGTCATGTGACATAACCAGCTCGTTTCACCACTTATTGAGATCGAGACCTAAATTGGACTTAAATCAGTAGTATTCGGAACGTATGTCGTCCATTTTTAGGCATTCATTAAAAAAAGCTGCCCTTATTATTCACTGGAATGGTAATTTTGCAGGCATATAGTTACGACGGCCTAACGGGTGAGGAGACATAAATAACCAACTGTCAGCTGTTCTTATAAAGTCGTAAGTCGGACCATAATCCACTGGTGTGTACGAGTATCGTAATGTATTGATTGCATAGACGTCACACACTGCTCACAGGGTTCCAGAAAGCGTTTCGACAAACCAGGACCAGTCGTCCTCCTCTTGGAGCTCATCGGTTAAACAGAAGGTTCGGGAACTGCACCTACTGAGCTTCGAGAAGGGAAAAATCGGTCATAAGCTGTTGAATAGTTCTCAGTAAACTCATAACCGGCTTTCTACTTCTCCTCTAGTATGTGATTCAATGGAGCGATAGCAACAGTGGAAAGTAATTATTCTACTAAATGCCAGCATCCGGGTTGTTGAATCGTCAAGTAATTTTATCACGGTCATCCGGTTTGGCTTTAGAGCTGTCAGTTGAGTGCTGTTCATCAGAAGGCTATTTGGATAAACTTTGACGAGGAACCCAGTCTTTTCTTCTGACATGAGTCAGGACGACCGCAGGTGAGCTGTTTGTTGACAGTGGTGGTGTAGCGTAAACTACTAGCAGTTGAATGTTTTTTTTGTTGACTGCTGAATGAAAATTTGTAATTGTGCGGCAGGGAATTCGAGTCGTCGAACTACTGGGAGTATCTGCATCATGTTGACAGATAGACGGTCACACATCGTCGTGAAAACACTGTTTTTGAATACCAAAGGAAAGAGGAACGATGTGGCTTTAAAATTGCTCTGGTTAGTCATTCACCGCAAGAATTTTTTCCAGAATTTTTTTCTTTCGCCAAGGATTCAATATTGAATCCGACGGGATAAATTGGCCAGAAAGCCGTGCTGACAAGTCGCTAGAGCAAACTGGCCTCCCGCCGTAAACACAGACGACCCCGGGTGACTGTTGTAGTTGGCTCTCCTATTTCCCAGCGATAACATCCCAATATTAACCGCAAAATGATAAAAACCAAAATGACTGGATTTTGCCAAAAGAACCAACCACTGTTGTTGTTTTTATGGTTTAAAAATCTTTGAACAGGCTCCTTAGATAATCTTCCCGGGACGAAGTTTATTTGCGAAGAACTCTGCCATCGTTATCTCGGGACATGCTAGCTACATTTGCAGACAGTACTAAACTACACACCACAAGCACTACCATCTGACTGGTTCCGTATTTGTCAAACTAATGGGATAACTTTTCTTCAGGTGTGCATCTCTAAACTTTATATCATCATCATCATCATCATCATCATCATCATCATCATCATCATCATCATCATCATCATCATCATCATCATCAACATAATCATTGATTTAATTGATAACACTTTGAGCAGTCGTTCGCATTCTGTCAACAGATTCCTCACCCCCTCAGTTATGAGCAATCAAAGTTTTCACCACCACAAATTGTTTGTCGTTAACAGCTTGTGTTGGGCGGTAGTATCATGGTGAGTATGATGAACAAATCCGACTTTTCTCCTCAATCCTGGCCTATCCAATTTGACCCCAAAATCTGGTTTGCAAATCCGACTTTCCTCCCCGATCTTCGCCTATCCAATTTGACCCCAAAATCTGGTTACTAGGGGGATACGGATGCAACACCTGATCTGTTTCTCATCTGAACCGTACTGTGTAATAAGCAGGAAAACAGTTTGTTTATCAAAACCGTAAAATCACCACAGTCATTAGGAGCCACTTTTTGTTTGCAGATTTGATAAAATCAAATTTCTTAGCAGATACTGACACAAGGGCCAAGTCATCGATTTGACTCAAAGTCATTTAGGCATGTTTTAAATGTTTGATTAAAGAGACATTGGATTCTATCCAATTTCCACTTTTCCACAGGATAAATGAGCGCTTCCGATCCCGGTTTACTGTTTTTTTCAGCATCCAACATAAATCCAAAGTATGGCCGACCACCGAAGTTGAGACCAGATTCAAACTGTTTAGGGGGAAACATTGGTGTATGACCATAGGAAACTCAGGATTCGATCGCTATGTGGAATATATTTATTTTTCAGGATTTTCACAAGGTAGGTTCCTACAGATAAACGTGGATTGCATTCTCCACTCAGTTAGAGTATCACACAATTAATCTGTTTTCAGAACGTTTCTACAGATACAGAACCGGGGTACGGAGAGTGTGGAAACCTGTAAATAACGAGAGAATGTAGTACAAAGGCATGCGTCAAGTAACACCTTGTCTAGAGTTGCTTGCGACGGATGTCATCTTGGCTCTGACTTGCTGAACGTCATATGGTTTAGGGAAAGCACAGGAACGGGATGTTCTACAACGTGTAGGAGTAACTTGATAGGAGTAATCACGTGGAAAAAAGGCGTGCCACCCGTTGGAAGAACTACGCACGGCTGCACGAGAATCTTGTTGCACTGTGCAACCTGCGATTAATCGACTAGAATGTCCATGGGGTCCCTCAGTAAGTCAACAAAGTTTCTGTACCATAAATACTTTCCGAAATAAACCTGGAGATAGCCTGTTACTTTAGAAATTGTAGATGGAATGGACAAACCTGAAATTCTGGTTGTTACTACTTCGTTCGCATCAGGAAAAGATATTCGACTCAACATTTGCACTACTCGCAAGTAGTAAAGAATCCAGCTCGAAATTCGGTTTTTTATTACTTCGTTTGCATGTTTCTGATGCATAGCTGCCTTGGCCAAGTTGTCCCGTTTGAACACCAGGGAAAGATATTCGTCTCCGTATTTGCATTACTCGCAAGTAGTAAAGAATCAAACCAATTTTTGATGGTCGCGAAAGCAAGTAACAAATTCTTCTCATAAAAGCATATTTTCCTCGTACGATCTCACTAAGGCGTATGCAGGTAGATGAGGAAGTATGGACAGCTACCCGAAGATACGGTAAAGTTCCACTAAAACAAGCTGGAAATAATAATTACTGATACTTGACTATAGATAACCGGAATTCCTGTAAAGTGCGCACACTTGACGATAGATAACCACAATTCCTGTAAAATGCGCATTATGCCCTGGACCAAAAAACATACCATCATAATTTACCATTTGATGTACTCTGCACGATAGCAACGAAGACAACCTGACGCTACAAAATAGAAAACGCATTTTTATTGTTTAAATAACTCAAAATTCTTCCGGGTATTCTCTTGTCAGGTTCAAACCAAATAAGGTCATGCGCTTTATTTATATCCTCTCAGTACAGAACAGCTACAAATTTGTCCCATGAAATAAGTGCACTTCTAAAGAAATACACTTATTTTCAAACTAATTCGGTTTTGCGAGAGATTCACCCGGAACCCAGCTAAATCTGTCGTTTCTTATGTTCCCATGCAACTGAATGTGCTGCACCAGGCCGCCTCATGCTACGATATACGAGATATCGCGATACAAGCATAGACGTAATGCACTACTCATAAGGTTACTGGTAAGCTGTCGAAGAATTTTCAGCAATCTTCTGAGTAGTGTGTTACGTGTATAAGACCGTCATACGCTTCAACCGTACCGTACCCGTGACACATTTCATGGTCGCATGATGTCATGCTTCTAAGTGACTTGGCCATCACGTTCGTAGTCAGATAAGCATATTTGTACATCGCCTTCCGTACATTCGATATTAAAATATTAGACTAAACTATTTCTGTCTGGCATTCTACACTACGCTGGCTTACTGAACAGTATAACGCATGTTTACAAAAGCCTACTGGTTCATTTTATTGGTTGAAGGGATCGAAGCGAAATGCTGTATTCGACGGAAACGCATGCTGAACATCTGCTACACTCTCACCTGTTCAGTGGATGCAAAACAACACTTTGTTCAGTACGATCAAATACAAGCAAATCTGGATGATATTTACGCTTAACTCATCACCAAACGTCTATTTATGGAACATTTCGGTGTGAATAGCTAGCTTACACATTTTGGAGTGTATCGATAGATCACTGAATCCCAATTTTTACCGAATGTTCGTGGTCAGAGCATTCGATCCGGTCCGGATTAGCGCTGGAAATGGTTGCGTCACAAACATATATGTTGGGAAGAATTCAGGGGCGTGTAGCACCGCAAAGCGTTTGTAAAATACGCAACAATCGAGGTGCACCAAATTTTACTGCTCTTTTTGGAAAGGCAATCATGCCAAGTCATAATGCTTTCGACAGGCCCGTTGGACCAAGCAGGCTACCAAGAGAAGTGATCTTTTCAATTTTTCCCCTTTTAAATTAATTTTATCCTAGAATTTTCCAACGGTCACAAAAACAGCACAATCACCAACCCACCGCCGCGCACCACTGCGCTCCCCACTAATGGATTGATGATGTCAACTCGATTGGTGATGGAACGTTTGCAATCAAATTGCCCAGCTCAGCGAACAAGCCAACGACCGACCACAAACAACCTTAATGTTAGCGAATATACACTCATTTGCAAACTAATTTGTTTTTTTTAGAACAGAAGGTTGACGGAAACCCGTGGACTGCGCCTACCTGATGAGCCCCAAAAAGGGGGTCGTGGGGTCGTGGGTTGTCGACGGATTTTCAGCAGCCTTATGAGTAGTACATTACAATACAAATATATACATGTATCGCGATATTTCAAATATCGTAGCGGCTGAAACATGAGGCGGCCTGGTGCAGCACATTCAGTTGCCTGAGAACATCATAAACGAGAGATTCAGCTGGGTTTCAGGTGAGTCTCTCGAAAAAACCAAATTAGTTTGCAGATGAGTGTATATTCGCTAAGCTTTAATGTTCTTTTGTGAGGACAGCTAACCGCACTTTACATGCTGGTAGTATTCAAATAGTGTGGTATGAATTTGCAACTTCGTGTCAGGAATCCACAGTATTCCGTTCCTTTTCAGTTGGTTTTGGCATCCTTGATAGTTTACAGTGGATATGTAATTCCGATGAGTTGTTCCTCGTGATTTTTGAAGAGGCTTGTGACAAAGATTTCTTTTCTTCTGTTTTGGTTGCCATCCAGCCGGTCGTATGAAGTCTTTTGATCTGAACATTGATTTCGACCTCCTTCATGCTTTTATGGTATAGCATGTGTATCTTGTGAGCTCACTATACAGTGAACAGCCACGAGGAAGCTGGGCAGCTGAAGAACAGATTCCATGGAGACAAGTGCGAGTTGATCACACCGGCGATCAACTGTTCGTGGCCGAACGGTGAACTGTTCAAATCACAAGACGAAGGTCTAGGGTTCAGTTTTGCGGGGGACTCTCCTGGAACCCAGCTGACTCTCTCTTTTACGATGTTTTCAACTAACTAGATGTGCTGCACCAGGTCGCCCATGTTTTATTTGGCACGGTATGCAAGATACATGTATATACGTACGAAATGTAGTTTGGTGCGGAGGGCTGATGATTTCCGGTAAGGATGGAACGACTGCTTGGGTTTACTGCATAAATTGACTTTACTTACAGCACGAAATCTACGTTGAAACCCCCAACTCTCTTCACAACAAACCGTCAGTATGTACTGAACAAGCCAGAATACAACAAAGCTGGCCCGCACGACCTGGACATTCTTCCGTCTTCCCACTTATTCTGTGTCGTGTAAATCTGAAAACCAATAAAAGGACTTTGAAAGGGCTCAGCCCTCGAAATGTGTCTACCACCTATTTCGAGCTGATAGGCTGTGATATGACGACACAGAATTCAATGCACTCATTCCACGTGGTAAAAAGTCTCGCTCAGTGACGAATCTCATATTAGTCGAGCTGAAAATCACTCCACAACCAGTTGCAGACACATATTGTTTAAATTTAACAAACCATTTGTCGCTGAGTTTTGATTTTTAGACACGTCTTATTCATGGTCAATAAAACGAAGAACTAAAGACAAAACAAACTCCGTTTGGCGAGCTTTTTGTCAGACTTTCTGTCCCGAGTGTGACTGATTGTAAAATTTGGTTTTTGACGTTGGTCGCTTTTCAAATGGCGCACTTTTATGCAGTACAACCCAACTTATCACAGATTTTGAACCACGTGACTGTCAGACTGAATATTGTAGCATCGTGGAAATCAATGACATGGGATGACAGCACAGTTTGAAAGTTCGTCGGTTGGGTGACTTCAGGAAACTGATAAGCTGTAAGTCTAGGAGAATGACGTGAATAAGTTCTACACGGTAGTTCAGTCGTCATCAATAACAAAACTCGTGGCTGTCGTCAAAATAAACATGTCAGCATTAGGTAGGGGGATTTAAAAAAAATAAATAGTTATGTAATCAAGTTAATGCGAAATAAGTTAACTGACGTAACGACTAGTTGAGAGTCGGGCTTATAAATATTCCGACATTTGAAGAATACGGACATGTATCTCAGATTGTCAGAACGGTGCACAGAACAAATTAACCGACTCTATGTTGACGAGATTGTATGCCTCCCTGTTTAGGACACTATTTTCACTGGCAAGATGCCTTCATTTGAAACAGATTACATTTACCTGAATAAAGTAGCGTTGGATTTTTCCCAGTTTTTACATAGTGTGTGCCGCCTCAGGCTGCAGAGCCTCAGTTATTTAGTTTTTGTTGTTGTTGTTGTTGTCGGGTCATCTGTACCTCGAGGCTGAGCGAATTATATTGGAGTATATACTACCTTTCAGAGGAAACACAATCACCGCGCTTACTTCAAAAGGGTGAAATGCGGTGGTTCAGTTTCATCACCCTGGTTTCTTTCTATTGGTTAGGTAATGAGCTCGCTCTGCCTTGACACAAACGCTGTACCTCAAGGCTGAGCGAATTATATTGGAGTATATACTACCTTTCAGAGGAAACACAATCACCGCGCTTACTTCAAAAGGGTGAAATGCGGTGGTTCAGTTTCATCACCCTGGTTTCTTTCTATTGGTTAGGTAATGAGCTCGCTCTGCCTTGACACAAACGGTGAGCTGCATGCTACAGTCATCTCGGAGGCTGAACTGAAAGTTTTGGGCTGAACCGTGTTTATCTTTCTAACGACGGGTTAATACGCTACGAAGTTATCCATTTATTTCCTGGTGTAGGCTAGCGATCAATCAACCAATCAGTCCACCGATCGATTGAATGATCGATCAGTAAATCAGCTGTCAGGTATTCAGTCAGCAACCAAATCAAAACGAGACTGTCTTTCCTTTAGCACAGTGACTTGTATTGGTGAACAATCGGAAACAAGAAACTGATATTTGTCAAACCAGATGTCCAATCAGCATTCCTTGGAAGCATTTTTATGTCGCTTTGCGCCACTAGCTCAAATCTTTCACGTTTCATATTTCAGTAGTATTGGTATTGCTTGCCGCATTTGGTGAATCTAAAATGACTAATGTCATGCGAGCGTTCTTTATTTTCCACTGGTACGTGACCCAGTTTATACCTTTCCTTACCAATCATAGTAAGCAATCAAGTAAGACAGCTTGAGGCTTTCTAACCTGTTCCGCGAATTTGCCTGCCCCTAACACCACGCAATTACATACAAACACAACCACCACGCGTCGCACGCCAATAGTAACCTCCCTCGTCATTCTATTTGCGACGTGTAACCACGTGTCTACTGGTGATCGTCCTACACTAGAAATCGCGCATTTAATTGGCCTTAGTCCATAATTTTTCAGCTGAAAAGACGTGATGAAATTTTTGTCTATTTACAGTTTCTCTAAAACCGCGTGCCTGCGTCATCTTCCATGCCTACGTCTCGCGTAGGCAGTGCACCTGTTACTGACTCAAGAAGGCCACGTGACTGGATTTGAACGAATAGTTCAAACGAGAAAATAGATAGACTGTGCTGTCCAAATGAGACCAAAAACTACCTATTCGTTTTCTGATTTAGTCAGCCTATTTGAACAAGTCTTTGAAAAAAAACAGAGGATCTTTTTGGGGCAAAGAGACGGAACTATGAAAATAGTCACAAACACACACAGGACAAGCGAGTAAAAATTTCGTATATTTTTGGTGGCTTGGGACCAAAGACAGAATACACGTGGAAGTGAGCGGTGCGATCGACCAGAAAGGAAGGTCATCTGATGCGTTCAGTCATTCACACACTAATTTGTTTGCAACGAAAAACTCGAATGAATCCCATTGAATTATCCGCTTGTGATGTACTTCTTCAGCCGTTTCATGTTTCGCTTGATACGACATTCAAGACATCTGCACAGAACATACTACCCATGAGGTTGCTATAAAATGTTGGAGAGCCCAACACCGCTGTTGCTCTTCTTGAGGTTCACCAGGTGACACAGCCCCCGAGCTCCTTTTAACCGTACAGTCTATTTTAACCCAAAATATATGAGCTACACAAAATGTCTTCATTTATACACTAACTTGGTTTTAATGTAAGACTCAACTCAACCTAGATGAAGCTCTCATTCACGATGGTTCACGCGGGATGTAAGGGTAACAGAAACTCGAGAATTGCGCCTATCTAAGCGGCCTAGGAGTTGAGAAACCGGTCGCGGGTTTTGAGTAGTTTTGTGAGTAGCGTGTTTCCTGAGCCGTTGAAATACTTATGACTTGATTGCGGTTTCCCTAAAGACTGATCTAACCAGAATATTGATTTCTTTCGTAAGCTGAATATTTTTCAACCGAACTTTTTGAGATTTGGTCGATCAAATTAACAGGTGTTTTGCCCATGCATCGTCGTTCAGTAATCTATAAATATTGAATGCTCACGTCCGGTGTTCAGTTTGTCGTTAGGATCTATGTTTCTGTGTCAGCAGTTTAGTGAACTTTAATGGATAATTCTGCTGCTTCAGACAGTTTTTTCAAGAGGCACTGTCAAACTGTCTGCTCAACGAATATGCCCTTAAGATATCGGCAGATATTGGTCTGGTTACCCGCTGGGCTAAATATATTGATCGAAGTTAGGGAGCCTTGAATCGCTGAAGACTTCGCCACCCCATCATGAAGGATACTCTGCAACTACTGTCCGAAACGATTCCCCCACTACTTTGCTAATTGCACGCTGGATAAAAATTCAGAACCTAAATACAACCCATCACATGAAATGGGAGGTTTGATAATACCGGACATAAAAAGCTATTCTGGCTCGAAACAGGAACCAGGCTTTTAGCGCCAGGCAGCAGTGGTCCGCTGAGCTAAACACACCCCATATTAGTATATGTTATTTCAAGAAGGCGGTCAGACCGGATACAGTGTCAGTCTCATGGTGAGTCTTAGACAAGAAACGTTCAGTGGACTGCACTAGAGGCTTCACCGCATGACTTTTTGTAGTAACGGTATTTTTCTCAGCTTAGTTCTCGGTCTGAACCTCCCAAGCTAGCGTTCACGTCAAAACAACCACCAGGGGTGAACAAGGTATATTAACGCCCAAAACGAGGTAAGGAACACTTATACAGCGCTTCATATATACAGCGTAGACTGCAATAACTTTCTGTAAATTCTGGCGCGTCCTGGATGTACCGGCATTCGGCTAATACTGGGTAATGATTGGCTGTTGGGTCCAGACTTTCGACCAATCAGATTTCGTCTTGACACCGGACCGGCAAGCGTCCCGAATTCCCGACCAATCTTGCGTGGGGTGAACTTCTCGGCCGTAGCAACACCTGAGTGCGAGCTAGAAAGTTCCGCCTAACATCTTTGAAACTGAAGTTACATTATCAGCCTGAACGCAAATACACGGCGTTGAAACTGACTTTCTAGCTTACCACCGTAAGCTTATTGGTCAACGTTTCTCTGAGACGCTGTCACAGCCTTGTGTAGTAATACCATCTGTATCTCTCTAACAATTTTGTGAAGATATTGGGGTTTTATAATGAGGCAACCATTCGAATTTTTCACCAAGGTAGGGTTTTCAAATGTAGACTTTTCGTTATTTACAATGCGGAGTACGTTAACTCTGTCAAGAGCATTGTAGTCAGTTGTTTGAGTAGCCTGAGATGGGCAGGTGGTGGCTGGAAAGTTGCAAGTATGGAGAGCACTGATTCTTTCCACTCTTACTGTCGAGGTGCTATTTCATCCTTGTTCGGAATAATCAGCATTACTCGCCCAGCGATAAGATGGCGAGGTTACGAGTATCGTTGCTGGAAAGTTATTGGAAGTTTGAATCTCCCTGAAGATTCGAACTCACCCTTTCGGCTAGTAGACCTGACAGCGATTAATTTATCAGTTCCCCCATACTACCAACCAGCTATAAGTAGCTCCAGAGGAGGTGTAATCCTGACAATAAGTAAACCTTTTATGTAAAATGTCAAGGAGTCAATTAACACAAGACTACATTATGCAAATTCCGTAACAGAAAGATGAATGATGCTTTCCCCAGTCCAACTGTGTGTGTCTTACCCTGCTGATCAGTCGCTTGTCCCAACGGATTGGTCTTCAGCTACTAACCACCTCAGAGTCTTGTGAGATGCACACTGAAGATGATCTCCAATAGGAATGAAACAGCGGTACAACATTTCTCGGCGTTTTGGCATAAACTTCACTCACGAGATACGGTCTGGACTGATCAATAAGTGTTGAGGCCGCGGGTACAACTTATGCTGCATAATATTTTTATCGGCTTACCGCAAGTATCTTGGAAAGATTTTTTTCACAATGCGGCTGATGCGATATGGAAAATACGAAGCTAACAGCTAGTATTAGCACTTTTCCTATTCTGTAGCATGCTTTCCCTAGAAACTTGGCATCACCTTCTCCGACGCCGTGAGTTGCGGAAGGCTTCAGGTAATAAACTCACCTACGTTTTCTCTGCCCCCTCACAACAAAGAAGGGCGAAACAGGTCATGGGCTGTCGACGAATTTTCAGCAACCTTATGAGTAATACGTTACAAAATATACATATATCGCGATATCTCGAATATCGTAGTAAATGAAACATGAGATGTCCTGCCGCAGCACATTCAGTTGCCTGGAAACATCACAAATGAGAGATTCAACCAAGTTCAGGGTGAGTCTCTCGAAAAACCAAATTAGTTTGCCAATGAGTGTATTTCGATAATTTCGTGCAATTTGGTTTCCAGAAGAGCATAAGGTTGACGGAAACTCGGGGACTGCGTCTACCTGACGAGTCCCGAGAAGGGCGAAACCGGTCGTGGACTGTCAACGAATTTTTAGCAACATTACAAAAAGTACGTTTACATTTCATTCACCCAGAAATCTGAGAAAAAATTAGCTGCAGTAAAAGAGCATGCGAATATTCATCGAGACCACCGAAGGGATCCATTGCTGTCCCTGAATGGCTTTCTGTTAGGTAGGATTACACACAGATCCCGGTATACGCTGCAACGGCCGATAAGCCTAGCCCGCACGAGATTGGCCAAGAAATCGTGACGCTTGCCGGTCCGGCATCAAGACGAGATCTGATTGGTCGAAAATCTGAACTTAACAGCTAATCACGACCCATTATTGGCGAAATGCCGGTTGTCAATGGCGCATCCAGAACGCGTCAGAAATTCCAGAGTTATAACCGCCTACGCTATATATACGAAGCGCTGTGCAACCGTTCCTGACTTCGTTTTGGGCGTTAATATACCTTGTGCACCTTTAATGGTTGTTTTGACGTGAACGCTAGCTTGGGAGGTTCAGACCGAGAACTAAGCTGAGGAAAATACCGTTAATACAATTTCGATACGAACCGAGGCTTCAACCAGGTCAGACCTAAAGCCGTTTTATGCAATCAATACTTTTTGATGCTTTCTGTTTTCGAAATGAGGAATACAGTGATAAGTAAGACCAAGGAGGTTTACTAGTAACTGCGCAGACGAGTTTCCCAGTCACCCTTTGAGGTACTGACTACATCAACAGTCAAATAGTCCGTCTATTTGCCATCGATCGGCGATACAATCCCCAACCAATATTCAGTACATCCAAACCTGTCTCCACATGTTTACATCTGACTTCAAATCCCGGTCAGCAGTCAGCTGATGTATCGCTCCAGCAAGAAGCAATCAACGGCTGTTCTGAAAACTCATAAAACACATTCTCCCTCCACCAGATGATGCAAACAACAAGTGTTGAGAGAAATCCATCGTGTTTGAAGACATTGTTTTTTCTATTGTTTGAAATTTTTTATCACAAAAATAGAAGCGGCTACAGCTGGATTTATTTTGCTTGATGGAATCTTTCAGTCTCAGAATAGCACCAGAAAAAAACTGAGCCACCCACTTGTAGTACTGGTCAATTTTGGAACGATTCGGGAAAAGGGAGACTTTAAAAATCAAACGAAAAGTATTTAGCGTCAGCTGACTATCGATAGATTCAACTGAACACTGTCTTGATTGGTTTTTCGATCTAAAAAGAGGCCAGAAGGTGTAATCGATGGTAGACTGTCGATTGGTGTATGCTGCTTGTATTCTTAGACGCAGAAAATCCTAGCTACTCTATAGGTTGCGCACGTGTTTTGTGCACTGTGGAGAGGGCAACTGTAGTGAACAGAAGCAGACAAATGGACAGTCAGCTGACTGAAGGCCTCGGAAATAATATTCTATATGTGTTTTCGTTTTTGAAGAAATAGCTGAGACGGCGATCTTTCGGTCTTTTACTCGGCTTTAATGTCACTATAATGTTGTCTGCGTTTCAGCACCATTCGGATACCTGCACTGTGATCTGCCTGAATATTGATCAGACAATACTGGTTAACATCACCCAAGGATGGTCGAAAGCGTGCCTGTTGCTTTCCGGTCAATGGCGATTTTCAAATTCCTACCAGTCTTGTGCTCATGACAAAATGTAACGTAACTGGGGAGAGCAGACATCTCCGGCGAACCCTGATGGATGCGGAAAAAACTATTAGACAGCTTAGCGAATATACTAATTTGGTTTTTCTGAGAGACTCACCTGGAACCCAGCTGAATCTCTCGTTTGTGATGTTCTCAGGCAACTGAATGTGCTGCACCAGGCCGCCTCATGTTTCAGTCGCTACGATACTCGAGATATCGCGATACATGTATATATTTGTAATCTACTACTCATAAGGTTGCTGAAAACCCCTCGAAAACCCACGACTGGTTTCGCCCCTTTTCGAAGCTCATCAGGTAGGCGCAGTCCCCGGGTTTTCGTCAAACTTATGTTCTACTTGAAACCAAATTGCACGAAATCAGCGAATATACACTCATTTGCAAACTAATTAGGTTTTGGGTTCAAGTAAAACATAAGGAAACCCGGGGACTGTGCCTACCTGATGAGTCCCAAAAATGGAGAAACCGGTCGTGGGCTGTCGACGAGTTTTCAGCGACCTTATGCGTAGTTTCCTTCATGAAAATATACTGCGATATCTCGAATATCGTGCCAAATGAATCATCGCAACGGCAATCTTCGCAAGCACCGAGAGTATCCGTCGCTGTCCAGGGTATGTAGAACAACAGACCGACCCACAAAAACGGAGGCCCCGTTGACGTCAGGACATATCGTCATAGTTAGTTGCTTACTGATGCTCAAGCACTTTACGTAGTTTAAACATGTACCGTAATAACGTCACTGAAAGGATCTTCTCAAATTTCGCTGGACTAAAACGGTCGTTCACCACACTTTGTATGCAAAATGCTGGTGGCTACCATTTATAGAAATATCCGCTGATCGTAGTTCGAAGTTGGCAAACTTAATTGGGAGTATCCTGGAGCAGCTTAAAACTTTCTGCCGATGAGTGCGTACTTTGTTGGTTTTTTTATGGTACCTGCAAGTTTTTACTGAGGCATACCAAGGTTTAATTGATGGTCTGCATTGGAATTGTGACCGAGTGGGACGTTTGACTGGTGTTGCCTGCGAACGCAGGAAGTTTCACTTCTGTCTGTGCTATAGGAACAGTCGGCAGCGTGCCATCGAGTCCTGCCTGTGTGTGAAGTTGGAAAAAACACCAATACATCGTTCGTTTGGCGAGCTTAAATCGGCTTCTGCTAGCCGATGCGCTGTTATCGATAACTTGTCACACCAGCTCATCGACCTGCTTAGGTGATCCTTGAACCAATCGGATGCGTCCAGCAATCCAAATCACGTGACTAAGCCAAATCGATGTGTTGTCGTACCCGGAATAGAAAAGACTTGAGTTCATTGCTTATGTCAATCGGATGCACCCACAAAACTGAGAAGAGAACAAGATCGACGGTTCTCTACGCAACAGTAGTTGTACCAAACACTCATATTCGCGCGAAATTGCAACGAGCCTATTGGACGACCCGAGAGCTGAGCGAGATGCTCGGGCGACCAGTATAAAGACAAGACACTGTGGCCTATGTCAGAATAATTTCCCCGATATTAACTGTCTCTAGTTCACATCACTTCCCCCTCTTGTCA